CATGTAAAGGATAGCTAGCAATCTCTGGTATACAAGGTGGTTATGACATGGTGCATTGATCTCTTTAGGAAATTATTGTTCCTAAACAAACTCTCTCCTACACTATGACATTTTTCACTATAGTCTCTCTATTTGTTAGCAATTCCCAAATAGTTAAAGGCTAAAATGAATCCAAGGTTTCCTTGGATTATATAATCTAATGAAATCAGCCTGTGGCTTGTCAACCTGTACTTGAAAGGAAAATCTCCTTCATAAGGGCAGCTAAATTATTATATTAATGAACAAGTGAAATGGAATACAATAAAACATATAACTAAAGTGCTGTGGAGGGCATCATGGAGGAAATGAGAATGCACTGCTTTCCACTGATAATACAGTCTTGTCTACTGAATTTCTTAGACTGTAAAATGTTCAGGGCAGGAATAGACTTTCTGTATATGTGGAAAGTCCCTGCCACATTATGGGTGGTACTCTAATGCAGATAATTATTAATAATAATGAGACACCCATAGAGCTAGGTTTCAGAGAAATGGAGCTCAGAAATCTAACTCAGCTCAGTAATCCTTTCTGAAGATTGCTATGCTATTGGATCCGAAGAAATGTCAATTGGAGTTTTTTAGAATAAATTGGTTTTAAAATGAGATTCTTCCCCCAAAGGATTACATTATTTTATCCCTGCAGCAAGTGCCAAATGTATTGCTCCCCAAACTCAAGAAGTCTGTGTCACTTTTCAAACTATTTGCAGTTTATGGAGAATGAAGAAACCTACCAAGAAAAGTAATTCCTCTCTTTGATAAAGCAAAAGCAGAATTTATAAAACATCCATAATAAAGCCCACAAAAAACAGGTTTGTGTTTAAATCTTTTCCTAGATGCAGGATGTTGCACAAAGGAACCTGCAGGGTCAATTGTGAAAGTTAGGTTTTAATCTCTCATTCATTCATATTTGGTATAGGACAGAATTAAAGTTAAACAGGAAAGTCTAAAATTTATGAGTCTCATCTCTTTAAATGCCAAAGGAAAGGAAACAATAATATCACCTAGATTACTACTTTAATTAGGAATGTTGGGTTTTTTAACCTAAAGTTGTTTAATCGTATATTCTTGCTGGAAGTGTTTTCACAATCAGGGGAAAGTAAACAATGCCATCTGACTAATCACAGTGAAACCCAGCTTGGACACTTGCAGAAAATGTTGTACATCAGTCAATAGAGATTTAAAGAAATACACATTTGCTGAATACTTTTGAATAACAAACTCATGAGCCAAAAAGAGATTAAGTTCTTCAGATAAACTATTTGTTGAAAATTATTTGCTCAACTGTAAATAATAATCATCATAATTCAAAAGGTTAAAATTAGCAGATTGATGGATATCCAGAATAACCCACCAAAACTGATCAATCCTTCCTGCAGGGTGAAGGAAGATGCACAAATCTGTTTGAAGGCTTTATTGTCTAGTGTTCCTCCTAACCAAATTGTGAACTTTTGCTTTTTTTCACATTTGAGAAAATACGTTTTCCTCCTGTGGAATCCAACCTCAGAGTGAAAGCAGTGTTGTTCCAATGTTACTGCATTCTAATTGGATACAGGAGGAATGAATAGCTCAGTGGTTTGAGCATTGGCCTGCTAAACCCAGGGTTGTGAGTTCAATCCTTGATGGGGCCATTTAGGAATCTGGGGCAAAAATTGGGGATTGGTCCCGCTTTGAGCAGGGGCTTGGACTAGATGACCTCCTGAGGTCCCTTCCAACCCTGAAATTCTATGATACAATAAGCATGTGATTCAAAAGGCTGGTATATGTTTGAGTATTGTTACACAGCCACTATAAGAAATGTCTCCTAGTTCACATTATGCACTCCTTAAAATGCATCATATTGACCCCATTCAGTGAAAGAGATCAGTTAAATATTCTCCTCATGCATACTCTGCTGTTCAGAATGATATGTTTCCATTTATATGCAACTGTCCTGAGCCACATGAAATGTTCCTTTGCAGTGTACATAATTACCACAAATAATAATTACCACAAATGTTGTTCCTTTGCAGTGTTCATAGTTGTAGTAACTCTGATTTCTCTGGAATTATCCATCCTTTAAGGTACTACTCAACATTAGTAAGTAAGAGGTCTTTAGATATCTACTGTACCTTTTCTCCATGACTGGAAGGTCATTTTCCAGCTGGAGAGGTTTATGCTCCAGAAAAAGAATGTTGGTGCAAGATTCCAATAAATTATTTACACGTTGATCATGATTTTTTATATCTGCCTTGTCATTCACATCTAGAGCAAAAAGGAATGAGGAAAAGGCAGCTGAGGTGGATTCTTGCTCAAGAATCAAGGAATTAATTTCTTGAGGAAGTAATTGTAGAGGAAGGAATACATAAAACATTAGCCATATACTGTACTATAAGAAGAAAATAATGTAAATAAGCAGAAGAGAACACTGATCCTTTCGACTTTCAGAAAGCTTTACATTGCTCTATTAATTGGAAGTCTAGAAGTTGAATCCAAAAACAGTAGCATTAACAACCTTCCTTTTAATTTGGTGAGAGAATTTTAACAAGGTTCTCTAATAGCACCTGTGAAGATGTCCAGTGATTAAGTGGGGATGCTGTTCAGTGGGAAATATACTGTGCAGTGTGCCTTCTTATTGGTGCTGTTTTGTTGGCAGTCAATTGCTGTAGTACATGAACAATTTTCTTGAATTAGAAATCACTTGTAAATAATATGTCTGTTGTCATCTAGTAGCAATAAAGAATTAGGAATGCTTAGTTAGCCCGTCTTCTGATGTCAGATGTGTACTATTAAATGTATCAAGGTTCCACCAATTCCTCAGCAAGAAAAAATTTCTTCTTTTAGCAGTTTATATTAAAAATGTGTTTTATTCTTAATTTTTAAATTTACTTTTAAGTGGTTTAATATTATGCATGATAAAAATAATTGTATTTTTCCAACCATGTGAAAGGCTGTCAAAAATATATTCATTCGTGGCTTAAATCCATTGAAGTGAATGGATGTACACTAGGCATAATTTAGTCCATCATACTTATGTCTTTTTTTTATTCAAGGTTCTTAATCATCCTCTGTCATTCAAATATCATTCTGTTGACTTGCCTCTATAGCCTTACTTACAAGAAATTAACCAACTAATAATGATTATGGTAGAGAAGCAATTGGGGATAGTTTATAACGTACAAAGCAGATGTGGAGCTATTTAGCTGTGTGCTAATCATACTGTTAATCACTTTGCTTGTATATTATACCTTTTCACCCATGCTTCATCATTTGGCCTGTTTGTCATTTTAGACTCTAAGTGTTTCAAGGGAGGGACTGGGTCTTCCTGTATGGCAGGCACAGCACCTACTGTGTTTTGGGTGCTGCTGTAATATAAATAAAACAGTAATAATAATTTCAAGCAAGTTTTTATTTATAACTATATTATATCTACTTAAATAGTTATAAAGCATAATAAGCATGACATCTCCTTTAAATGATAAATGTTAGTAATAATAAGGCGCATGGATTGACAGTGGATTATGGCTTTAGTTAAGTACACTGAAGATGTCCTCAGAGATGGTAGGACAGCATTTGTGTTTGCTGAAATAGATAAAGGTAAAGTCAGATAAAGTTTTAGTCTGCATTTATGCATGTAAAGTGGCTGGGCTCCGTGGTCAGACTACTTCTCCCATGATTCACCATGGTCTCTACTCTAGGAGGTGGGAGGTGATACATCATGGGGTTCCCTGGCCATCATGGGAGTCCCTGGCCTTGGTGCATCATAGGAAAGGTAATCTGGCAAGGGAGCCTGGCCAGTCGAAGAAAAAGGGGTCATGAGTCAACTGAACTACAACTCTCCTGGTGCTCTGTGGAGGTATTTCCCGATCGAAATATTTCAGTTTGTGGGCATTTGGTTTTTTGATTAAAAATCCAAATTTTCCACAGAAAGAGAACACTTTTAAAAAAAAAATCTCCCTGGTTTTTCATCAAAAAGCAGTTTTGACAGGAAATTTTCAACCCTCTATTATATACCCCATTTCAGATATCACCAGCCTCCACTGGTTAAGAAGGCACAAGCAGTACAAGTTGTACAAATAAAGAACCTTTTGTTAATGATATAACACACACAACTATTTTTTCACTCAGGTGAGTCTGGTCAAACCACATCAGTCTCCTGACTGATTATAAATGTTGCCTCTTTTGCAGAGGAATCCTATCTAATTGCATTACAAATGTTGAGAATGAGGTCATATTACTTCTGTATTTGGTTGACTGCTACTGGAGTATTGTTTCCAGGTATGGTGTCCACACTTCAAGAAGGACATTGAAAAATGGCAGGGGGCTCAAAGAAGAGACAGGAGAATGATTAAAGGATCGGAAAGCATGCTTGGCAGTGAGAGACTCAAGTTGCTCAATCTGTTTAGTTTAGCAAAGAGAAGGTTGTGGGGTGACTTGATCATAGTCTGTAAGTACCTACATGGGAAACAGGAATTTGATAAAAGAGGGTTCATCAGTCTAGCAGACAAAGGTATCAGAAGATCCTTTAAGCTGGAAGTTGAAACTAGAAAAATTCTGACTAGAAATAAGGTACCTTCTTTTTTTTTTTTTTTTTTAAACAGTGAGAGTCATTAACCATTGGAACAACTTGTGGTAGATTCTCCATCAGTGGGAATATTTAATCAAAGATTAGATGATTTTCGAAAACATCTGTTCTAGTTCAAACTGGAATTAACTCAGGGAAATCCTATGGCACATATTATACAGCCCGTCAGAGTAGATGATCACAGTGGTCCCTCCTGGCCTTAAAATCTATGAACCTATGAATCTCTTAACACCATTTCTTGTAAGAGACCAATATATATTTAGTATGCAGTAATTTCAGCTTGTTTTTTTCTTTCTTTTGTTGTTGTTTTTATTTGGTTTGCTGGCTTTGCGGTTTTGTTTGTTTTTGGTTTTGGGGTTTTTTTCTTTTCTTTTTTTCCCCTTTTCTTTCTTTTACTCCAGGAATTGGGCAAGGGGTTCCAGTGGTGGCACTTATTGTGGAAGGAGGGCCCAATGTTATCTCTATTGTCTTGGAGTACCTACGAGACACTCCGCCTGTTCCTGTTGTGGTATGTGATGGCAGCGGCAGGGCGTCTGACATCCTTGCATTTGGTCACAAATATTCAGAAGAAGGAGGGTGAGTCATTTGCTAGGAAACATTCATGAAACAAAATAATTCTTAATGTGCATGGCAATTTTTTTTGGTGCTAATATGGAGGCTGGGAAACTATTAGCAACATAACAATACCGAATACTTCCTCAAGTCACACTTTCTAGCACTGATTAGAGTACTGCTTAAAGATATTGAGATATTCAGTGCAAAAGCTGTCTGGCTCCTAGATAGGGAAAACTGATGCAAGATGGTAGAAACCCTGAAGAATTAATTGTATTGGCAGGTCTACCACTGGGATAAATCCTAGTTATATAACATGAGCAGCTGCATATAGGCATACACGCTATAATGAAAGTCTGGCATCAGCAACATCTTACCATTGCAGGTCAGGATGTCAAACAAGGGACTGGCTCAGTGGGCAACATGAAATATATGCTCACTGCAATCAGAGCTGTCTTATGCATACTATAAATGGTGGTATACTGTCTACTAACTCTAGCTTTTGGCACAGCCCTGCCCTTTAAATAATCATAATTGTTCACATTGGCCAAGTGTATCTGCTTCTTTCTGTACTCTGTAAAGGAATTCCATCTGTCCACCTGTATTCATGCACTGCTGCTTTTGCAGTGGTTTTAGCGTGTCTTCCACCTTTTCTTGCGCTAACTTGAGGCGAGGCAAGAACAGTATTTAGATCATGGTGTAGATATTGTAAACATATTTTTGGCTGAATTGGGATCTACGTGTGCTTTTATTAATCCCAAGTGTGTCTAATGATTAAGTGCATACATTTTTAATGTGTTCTTTTCCTCTAATGGTGACTAATCTGTATGAAATCATATTGGCAAAATTAAGTCTGAGGACTTAATGCCTAGCAATAAAAACACCCTCTCATTGTAAAACTTAAAGGGCTAATTCATGGTTTTCCTCTACAGTTCCTTTATACTGTTTTAAGGTGGTTCAGATCCGGGGTTCTTCTTGGGCTGGTGTGTGTGTATATGTATGTGTGAAAAATGCACATCAGTAACAGATTTATAAAATGAGAGAATATGTATAAATAATACACACTGTAGACTTTAAACACATGTAAAATGTGCTTTAATAGTAAATATAATTATCAGGAACTTTTTTTTTTACGTTTAAAAATGTTCTAATGGGGAATGAAGGATCAAAGAATGAGTGACATTTTTATTAGTCTATTTTCATTACAAATGTTGAACAATTTCTATCATGGTCATTTAAATTCAGACTTAATTTGATGTGGTCATGTCCTAGTACCAAAAAGTGTCCCTTCTGCACCAGTTTAAAGCAACAATATTCAGTGATCAGTTCTGTTTTGTTTTTGTTTTGTTTTTTTTTGGGGGGGGGGGTTAATCTTCAAATTGTGATAATTCTACTGTATGTTCAAAATAATATGGATATGCAAGATTTTAAATTGGCTAGAATTATTTGTTTAATTTTTCTTTTGGTTGTGTTTCATAATGAGGCGCACCCTAAGAATACAGGTGCTAGAGAAAGTAGATCAGGCAGGTATTTTCAAAAGCATTCAGAGTTGGCCTATCTCTGTTCCCTCAAAGCCATGTTAAAACTTCCACTGGAGCTCAATGGAAGCAAATTCAGTCCAGTGCAGAGGACTTTTGAAAATCCCACCTAAGTCATTATTATTAATGATTATGATGCCCTTTTTTAAAGGCTGGTGAAATTCCCTGTGCCACATTTAAAAGCTATTGATCACAGAAACATGTGTTAGCAAAGTTCTAGAAATTACAGATGGAAAAGATCAATCAGACCATCTACTCCAGGGGCAGGCAACCTATGGCACGCTTGCTGAAGGCGGCATGCAAGCCGATTTTCAGTGGCACTCACATTGCCTGGGTCCTGGCCACTGGTCCGGTGGGGGGGCTCTGCATTTTAATTTAATTTTTAAATGAAGCTTCTTAAACATTTTAAAAACCTTATTACTTTACATACAACAAGAGTTTAGTTATATATTATAGACTTATAGAAAGAGATCTTTAAAAACGTTAAAATGTATTACTGGCACGTGAAACCTTAAATTAGAGTGTTTATTGCAGCCTGGCATGGTGCACAGTTGAAAGACTGTGACATGATTTACTGTAGAGTATATTATCCTGTCTGACATTTGGGCATGGTTCAAAAGAGATTGTCATGTGAGGCAGAAGTAAGCCAAAGCCTCTCATCTGTCTCCATTGGGTCAGCCAGAGCAAAGAAAGGAGCTGTTCTTTGAGAATTATTTTCCAGGGTATTATAGGAATAATTAAAATGCAGATTGCTAAAGGCAATTAAAGTTAAGCATTTTAATTGTTTCAGGTGCCTTGTCTAGATGGATCCAATACATCTTATGATCATCTTTCCTGGGGGAATATATACATAAAGCCCAGGCTCCTGCTTGCAACTGATGCCTATTTCATGTCTACTAGGGTTGCCAATCCTCCAGGAGTGTCCTGGAGTATCCAGGAATTAAAGATTAAGCTAATTAAACATTGTCATGTGATGAAACCTCCAGGAATATATCCAACCAGAACTGGCAACCCTATGTCTGACAAATTTAGGTGGGAATGGTATTAGGCTTAATGTCCTTTAGGAGTCATGCAGACAAAAGATTAATGTATGTTTCATCCTAAACTTGGGTGAAGGTTTACTTCATGCTGGAACTGTATATGGATGTGCACCATGGGAGTTAGGCACCTAAATATCTTTGAGAATCTGGGTCTTGTTGCCTTATCCTGAAGTCAAATGGGGTGGAGAATAAAATGGAATGGAAAACCGGACCCTTGATCTATGCTGGAATATGGTTTGAATGAAACACTGTTTAGCTAGATTTCAGAGGAACAGCCGTGTTAGTCTGTATTCGCAAAAAGAAAAGGAGTACTTGTGGCACCTTAGAGACTAACCAATTTATTTGAGCATGAGCTTTCGTGAGCTACAGCTCACTTCATCAGATGTTTACCGTGGAAACTGCAGCAGACTTTGTATTGTTTCATATTCTCTGTGTGTATATAAAGTCTGCTGCAGTTTCCACGGTAAACATCTGATGAAGTGAGCTGTAGCTCACGAAAGCTCATGCTCAAATAAATTGGTTAGTCTCTAAGGTGCCACAAGTACTCCTTTTCTTTTTGTTTAGCTAGAATCAATCAGAACACTTTGTTTAGCCATATGCAATACTTTGTTAATAAAAAATATTTTTCTTATGCAGATCATTGCCATGATGAATAAGATATATGTAATTCACATTATGTCTTACACTTTTGGGATGAAATTTCCCCTCATGTGGAGGATCAGCACAAGACCAATGTACTATACAAGTCCCACTTAAGCACTCCAACTAGGACTTACATTTTGCATATATCTTGTGTTGGCCCTCTGCATAGGAGTGAATCTGATCCTTTATTGATACCAAAATATTGTCTATTGTCAAACTTGACAGAGACTTTTAATGAAATCATTTCTTCCAGTCTCTCATTTTTACTACTAGCTCTATTATTACTATTTTTAAAAATTAGTTGAAGAGTTCAGTTGTTTAGCAGGGAGTGCATTGAACCTCACAGAAGTCTTGAACACAGGAGTAAGATCAGGTTTCATTTCCATGAGATGATGCATTTAGCAGCATTCTGGGTATGATACTTATAATCTGTATATGGAATATCAGTAAATGCTATATATGAGGTTTTCCTGGTAATAGCAATAGAGAATCATAACTACAACAATTGTGACTCACCTTCACCTTTTTTATACTGCTATTAGATCAATATTGTCCCTAAGGCAGAGTCCACCCCACATCCACAAAATAGGAAAAAATAAGTGGTACCAGGTAGAACTTTGTGTAATGTGATGTTCTAGGACACGATATCATGTACTGAACACATTAATTTCCTACAGTGAAATCCTAGCCCCACTGAAGATAATGGGGAAACTCCCATTCACTTCAGTAGGGCATGATTTCACTCTAAGTGAAAGTTCCAAAACCTGATGACAATTATTTGATGACCTGGTGAAGATGAAATATCTTCTATTGATATATTTATGAAAGTATCAGTATTAACCTTGCTCCAAGAAAGGTCTGTTTAGGAACATTGAGGCAACTTGCATCTTGTTTTAAAATTGATATTGTAATACAGTACTTTGTTATATAGTTATTATGTGAACTAGTCCCTTCTAGTTAAGTCAAATAAATTATACTTGGAAGGATTTGATTTTTTTTTTTTTTAAATCTGTAAATGTTAGTAAACTTCCATTTCACCATACACGTAAAAACCAATGAGAAAATATTTCTATTGATCAAAATTGACAGGCAAAGTCAGAAGAATGCTGCTTGAGAACTTAGTTTGATTTTAGGATATTTACTTCCTATATTTTGACAAGTGATGTCGACAGTTTGTGTTTTAATGGTTATATAGTTTTAATTTTTTTGAATTTCAACATCTACTGTCACTAATTAGTTATTGTCTGACATGCACCCCCATTATATCCCAAAACAGTGATAGTTTAAATTTAAAAATGCTGAACACCTGTAATTTTTCACAACTCTGAAAATTTAAAGCAATAAAAAAATTTAAGAGTTTAAAAGTAAACATTGATATTATTCATCAAAAATATAAATAAGTAAAATTAGAATTCTTCCAGACCGGTATATAATTTCCAAAGACATGAAGCAATAACCAGTAAGCTCTGGATAAAAATACATTAATTTAAGCTCCTGTAGAGAATTATTTTTCTTATTTTTTAAATCTTACTACTGTATAATATTACCAGTGCTTTCCAGGTCAATAGCATTTTACATCTTACTCTCTGCTGTAGTAGTAGCTGGGTGAAATTTTTCATCTAAAACTGGTTTTCACCAAACAATGCAAATTTGGGGTGACGGAAATATTCATGGATAGTTTCAATTAAAAAAATCAAAAATCTTTGATTTTTTTATTCAAAATGATTTATTGCCAAATTTACTTCACTTTTATTTTGTGTAAAAAATTAACATAAAATACTCAAACATCATGAAATATTTTATT